TTAATTTTACAAATAACTCAAGGCGGTGAACATATCCAGCAAACGTTCCTCCTATTTTCCCATGCATGTGAGGCTTTTTTAAACAAGAAAACCTGTTAATCACTCAAAATATTTTAAATTTCTTCTCAGCAGAGCCTAGACTTGATTCTCTGCCACTCTCTGTCTATACACCCAATCCTATATTCTTTGTCAGCTGCCACAGTATTTGTATAAAAAAGCTTTGATTTTCCATTTTTTGACTGTAAAATAGATAATCAACAATCCATCCCGGGGCTTGTGTGTACAGGTGCAATGTTATAGATGTGATCCACAACCAAGATGAGCCTAGGTTTATCCAGGCTGGCTTAGAATCAAATTATGGGCTTTGGGTGGGATAAAAACAGCATTTTTTATCCCAGTCAAAATTTCTCAGTATCTCAGGAAGTATGTCAGCCACTACCTGTCCCACTGACAAGAAAGTGTGGGCCATAGGAAATTGGACCTTAATGTTCAGGTTGCTGACACCCAGTAATTCTTCATTTGGAACTTTCTATCAGATGACTCAAATGAGAAAAGCTGCAGTGAATGTATGATTACACCAACTGAAATCCATCCTGATGGCAGTTGGTTATTCTCCTGTCAGCAAAAGTTTAATTTTAGTAATACTTGTCTGGTTATTCTGGATTCTTTGAGGTTTCAGTGACGTGAACAGGGTGTGTGAAGAGATTGCCACTGTCTTCTTTTTTTCAACTCTTAGCTCTCCGCCCCTTATTTATTTGATTTGATTTGATTTATTTGCTGTCCATCTCCGTTCATGGCAACTCTGGGCAACTTACAGCATCATAACCTAATAAAAAAATTTAAACCACATATAGTAACATTAAAATAATTTAAAGTTGACAAAGATGGGAAGGAAGAGAGCAAGATGAACACTGGGGGGGGGAGGTGGGATCTTATTTTAAGGATGTATCTCCCATTGGCACCCTAGATCTTCAGCCCCTTTCAGAAGGCCAAAAGTGTGGATGCAGATCTCACCTTGTTCCAAAGGGCATGAGCCATGGCAGAAAAGGCTCTTTTCCTGGACCCCACCAACCAGAATTCCTTGACTGGTGGGGTCTACAGCATCCTTCTTTCTGCTGGTGAAGGTGGGTTGAGCCAAACCCATTGGGGTGAGACAGTTTCTCGGATAATTTGGGCCCGTGTCATGAAGGGTTTTAAAAGTGATAACCATCACCTTAATTGGACTCGGAAGCAAATTGGCAAACAGTGCAGCTTGTGGAACAGCGGTGTAACATGGACCACTCTAAGGACTGCAAGAACTGTCCTCGTGGCTGCATTCTGCACCAGCTGTAGGCTTGAAATACTCTTCAAGGGTAGCCCCATGTAGAGCAGTTGCAATAGTCCAATGTGAAATGACCAGGCCTTGACTGACTAAGTGCAGGGACTCCTGATCCAGGAAGAGGCACAACTGGCATACAATACAAAGTTGCACAAAGGATTAGCCTAGCCGCGACTGCCATCTGCTCTTTGAGCAGGAGTTGCGAATCCAGGAAAACCTTCAAGTTGTACACCAAGTCTGTCTGAGGTGGTGGATACCCATCCAAAACTAAAGATGTCAAACTCCCGGTTCCTGACTCCATGCACCCAAAGCCACTAAATATTACCAGGGTTCAGGCAAAGCCTGTTGTATCCCTGATCCAGACCCTCACAGCTTTCAGTGGGCAGCAACAGAATCGCTTGACTCACTGGGGATGGAGATGTAAAGTTGAGTATCATCAGCATACTGATGGTACCTCATCTCATGGTTTCACCCAGAGACTTCAAGTAGGTGTTTAAAAGGAGTAGAGACAGTACCTAGTCTTGCATCATGCCACAGAGGAGCAGCCATGGACTGGACCTCACTCCCTATCAACACTGATTAGGATCTGCCTTGGAGAAAGGAGCCAAATCAGTGCAAGACTGTCACCCAGCTCCCAAAAGATTCCATGGTATCTTTGTCACCCACAGCTGTCCCAAAAAAATATCATGATCAGTGGGACTGAAGCTGCTGAGAGGTCAAGGAAAGGAAGGATAGATCTCCATACTGCACTCGCCAGAGATCATTGACAAGAGCAGATAATTTGTAATTTATATTTTTGTTTCAATATGCTTCAGTAAATATTTGGTGTATGCATCCATGCCATTTTTTCTTTCACTTTAACTTAGAAGTAACTCTGTTTTACTTTTTAAAATGTCTGCTTTGGTAGTTAATTTTCAGAGGAGCACAAAAATCTGGGAAGCCCTTGCAAAGCAATTGGGAAAGTTTTCAAACAAAGAAGGAGTTCATTTTTTGTTATCTGACATGTTTCTGTTTTACCTTGCAAACATTTGCTAGAACCTATCTATTTAAGCCAATTGCTCTCATTCGGGTTGTTTATAGCCGTGATAAACTAGAGGTTACTTCTCAGTAAAATAACCTTCTTTAAAAAAAGATCTTTAATTCTTGTAAACTCGTTAACGGTTATTTTATAGCAACAGGAGGAATTAAATAGTTCACCATTGTTTCCTTTTTAGCTTTTTTATTGTCCCTCCGGAATGGTGTATAAATGTGGTTTATCTCTACGACTCTTTTGATGGCTGATTTCTCAGAATGCAAAGCAACCAGGAATTCCATAGCTTTTTTTTTTTGCATTTAGCTTGATTTAGGATGCTCACAATTCCCCGGTTGAAATGGTGATTGAGTCTGTCCATGTATTGTGATTATAAAGAGTTTTCATGGTGTCTTTTGATTGCTGTTTGGTGTTCATGATGCACTCTGGTAGTCTTCGGCCTGTCTAGCCTACATAGTGGCTATCGTAATCATTACACTATACAGTATGTTGTAGATCATGGGTCCCCAACCCCCAGTCCGTGGACCGGCACCAGTTTGTGGCATATTTGAAACTGGTCCGCGCAAACAAGTGAAGCCCCATCCGCGGGATGCAGGCAGCACACGAAACCACTCCCCTTCCAATCCACGGAAAAACCTCTTTCCACGGAACGGGTCCCTGGTGCCCAAAAGGTTGGGGACCCCTGTTATAGATGACTCCTGCTTTTCTGTCTTGGTTCATTCTTTTCTTCTTCTTTTGGTTTATTTAAGATGTTTTGGAGGGCTTTAGTTGGTCTGTGTGCTACGGCGATGCTAAGTGATTGTAATGGTCTGTTGGTTGTTTCTGATATGTTTATAATGTATGGCAGAATTGCGCTTTTCATATCTTGTGTTGGTTGTGCTGTGGTGGATCGAGTAGTCATGCACGTTTTGATAAAATCGCATGGGTATCCATCCATTTTGTTGGAAGATGTTGGATGGGGAATCTGTTTCCTTTTTCTGCTGTTCTGGATTGCTTCATTTTGCTTGTAATTGTCTGAATAATGTTCTTACACACCTCCTCTTGTGGGAGGAGGTTGGGTTGTTACTTTGGTAATGGAGCACTTGATTAGCGATTGATACAGGTCTCAATCCTGAAAGACCCTACAGAAAAGCCAGGTCTTTATAGTTTTCCAGAAGGGCATCAGAGGGGGGCTCGCATGTGGGATTGCTAGTCCTATGAAGTCTGACTGGGTGGACATGCAGCAGCTCCTTTCAACTAAGCAATGCATTTTTGTAAGATTATGCAGTGAGGGCTTCTCTGTTGTTGCTTCATTTCCCAAGAACTCTGCTTTAGAAAGACATCAAAAACTCGGTTTTTCAAAGAACTAAGGACCAAGATGTTTTGTGATCCCCATGGAGTGATGACAGACGAGAGATAGTTGAAATTGTATTTATGTACTTCCCAATAGCCTCATTTAATTTTTACACTTTTCACATTCTGAGTGTTGTTTTTTATTGGATTTTTAATATAAACTGCCTATGTCAGTGATGGCGAACCTTTTAGAGACTGAGTGCCCAAACCACAACCCAAAACCCACTTATTTATCACAAAGTGCCAGGGCCGCATCAGCATTGTGGTGCCCTCGGGGGGGCATGGGGGTGTGGCCCACTGTGTGGGCATGGCTCCAGTTGTCATGGCAGACTGGGTGGGCATGGCTGGGGTGGGCATGGCCACCTTGATGTTGCTCATGGGGGGGACACCTGTGGGGGCCGGGCAGGGCTGGGGGAGATCCAGGGGGTCTATAGCGGGTGGGGCGGTGGGCAGAAGGCCCAGCCTAGATGGGGGGAGGCACGCAATCCTAGCTGGGACTGGGGGGCCATGGCGCTGATAGGGATCCGGCTTTTCCTGCTTGGGGTGGCCTTCAACTTGCTGGGTGTGGGCGTGCTCTACCACCTCTACTCGAGCTTGCTAGCTGGCTGCTTCGCCTCCTTTGTGCTGGGTGGGGCCGCCGCTCCTGGTAGCGGCGGCCTAATGGACCTGCGCAAGCTGCTGGCAATGGCAGTGCGCGTGCCCACAGAGAGGGCTCTGAGTGCCGCCTCTGGCACGCGTGCCATAGGTTCGCCACCACTGGCCTATGTCCAAATTGGTGGCCATATAAGACAAATAAACAAATAACCTATAAAGCCCTTATGTTTAACTGGGACTTAGAGGAATGGGTTGAAATATAACGTTTACATTAGTGTTGTAAAATCTGAGAAAAATATCTTTGTAAAAATATGTGTAAGATGGCATACGACCAAATCAATGAACTTATTTAGCTGTATTGTGTTTACATATTTCATTGTATGTATCTCATAGCTAGTTGTTCTTCAGACTTGTTTCAGTTTCATATTTTTCATTCCTGGCAAACTGAATAGCCATATAAGAAAGTTGTGGTATCTGGAATGTCTACTGTATGTAGCTATATAGTTAAATCATAGAATAAGTTGTTACAATGCATCATTATCTTATAAAATGTGAATGATGTAGGTTAGTATTGCCTGTGCATGTGTATATGGGAGGATTCTCTTTCTAAGAATTCATGGGATGGTGGGTTAATGTCCTGTGTATTCATACATGTTGTATAGAAGGAGTAGAAAAACACAAATGGCATTCACATTTAGATTGCTAATGTCTTCTGTTTTCTTATAGACAATCATGGAACAGTTTAATCCCAGCCTCCGGAACTTCATATCCATGGGAAAGAACTATGAAAAGGCCTTGGCAGGTAAGTAAAGTAACACTATATACTTGGTCATGGCTGTAACATGACAACTGTAGGAATGGCACCTGTTTTTTGGTGATGGCTGAGGTGGGAAAAACTAGTAGTATCTATGGAAAGTATTGTCAGCATCATTCTGAGTGCTAAAGAGGCTTTCAGCTATCATAGACAAGCTACAAAGCAGTTCTTTGAATTAAGTTACAAGGATAGTATTCTTTATGACACATGAGGCATGAAAGCTCTCTTAAGGAAGACTTCTCAGAGTGCTGTAACACAAAATATCTTCTTTACAATTATGAGCCAGAAACAGGCTACTGGTTTACCAACAAGATAATCCATTCTGTGTTCTTGGGACTTCTGTTTTCTTAGTCTCTCTATGTCATCTTCTCTCCCTGTGCTTTATTAACATACTGCACCTTTTTAAAAATAACAATTGCAAACGGTAGCATTGTATGAGGGCAATTCAGAAATAAACCTCAGTTTGGTTATCGGTGACTGACACTCGCAGATACAGAACGTTTATTATACACATTAGAAAAGTAAACATTATATTACTTTTTGACATAATCGTCATTCAAATTGAGGCACTTGTCATAACGTCTTAGAAGGTTTGAAATTCCTTTGTAGTAGTCGCTTGGTGCCAAATCTGGGCTATGGGGGGGTGGGGTGATGAAAAACATCCCAACAGAACTGCTTCAAAAGTTGTTGGGTGCATCTAGTGGTGTGCAGGCGAGCATTATCCTAAACCAACACCACACTGGAAGTCAGCATGCCCCGACGCTTGTTATGGATGGTTGTCGTGAGTTTCTGTACCGTTTCACAATAGACTTCTGAATTGATGGTCGAACCACGCTCCGTGAACTTCACTAGCAGTACTCCTTTGGCATCTTCACATATGGCAGGATTCTCTATGGCACCACTTCCGGTGTGGTGTTGGTTCAGGATAATGCTCGGCCGCACACCGCTAGACGCACCCAAGAACTTTTGAAGCAGTTCCATTGGGATGTTTTTGATCACCCCCCATATAGCCCAGATTTGGTGCATGTGAACATTCCAATAGCCACATCATAAAAAATATATTTATTAAGTCAAAATAATATGAATGTTCTCAAGATGTTAAGGTTTATTCAGTTTGCAAGAGGGCTCTCTCTAGAAAAGCAAACAATAGTGATTCCCCCTGTTTTGGAAATGCAAAATCCAGCTTAGATTTAGATTGGTTTGATTTGATTTTTGGGCCATCCATCTCATCTAGAGGCAAATTGACACAAATCCAATCCAAATCCAAAACTCTTCACAAGAATAGAACATAGTTAACATCATCGTTTTAGAAAGCGGCTTTGGTTGGTAAAGGTAACTAATACATTTTGGACTTAGTGCATCTCACTTTCTGTTCTGGTTACTTTCCCTCGGCTAGAAAAGCTTTATATGTTTTTGTCAATATTTCAACTCATTTTGGAGGTCAGTTGTGTTTCCCCCCCACCCCCGATGTTTCTTTGTTGTTTTCTTATTAATTTCACTATATCAGTGATTTTGCCAGCTTGTTTGAAGTACAGCTAGCATCCTTGGGATTTTTGCTTGCTGGTTTTTATTCAAATAAAATTTGTGCCATCAAGTCAGTGTTGAATCTTGGTGAACCCATAAGGTAGTGATGGCGAACCTTTTAGACACCGAGTGCCCCAAAACCACCCCACCATTTCCCCACCCACTCCACCACCACCCCGCCTGCCCGCAGAGCCACCTACCACCTCCATGGCCCGCCGTAGCACATCGCCCAGGCGGCCCTGCAGCACCATGGCAGCCACACCCTCTACCCTCATCCTGCAGCATCTGCATGCAATGGGGCGCAAAGATGAAGTCTTGTCCCTGCTCCCTGGATGACATATCCTTGGCTGTGCTGCTCTGCGTGGGCCACACACAGGAGTGACTCTCCTCCGGGGGGGCTGCTGGTAAGGAGGGGGCCACAGGGGGAGGCAGGGCTGGGGCAATGGTGCGCATGCCCACAGAGAAGTCTCTGAGTGCCGCCTCTGGCACGCATGCCATAGGTTCGCCACCACTGCCATAAGGTCTCTTCTAGGATTATGTATCCCTGATTTGGCCATTCAGGTCTCTCAAAAGTGCACCTATGACCACTGTAATCAAATCCGGCATCCAGCCACCTTTATGGTTGGTTATCTTCTTTTTCCTTCCATCTCACCCAGAGTTATTTTTTCAAGGGAGCTGAGTCTTTTCATAATATGTCCAGAATTTGAGCTTAATCCTTTGTTCTATGATTAATGTGTTTGTTTTCTTGCTCTCCATAGTATTCTCAAGAGTCTTCTTCAATAGAGTTCAAATGTGTCAATACTCTTTCTACCCTTCTTCTTTACAATCCAGCTTTTGCTTCAATAGTGCCACAAGAAAATAATTGCCTGCACAATTCTGATCTTTGTGCACATCACAGTATCAGTATATCTTTTCTAAGTCCTTAATTGCTACCCTACCAGGTGCTAGTCTGTGGCTTATTTCTTGACTGCTGGCTCCTTTATTATTGATAAAACTATCTACCAAAAGGCTAAAAGGCAGAAGCTACCTACCATTTCAGTGTCAGTTCTAAGGTTGGTTGCAGTAGGTTTAATCTGTCATTTTTCACTGTGTTCTTTGGCTTTCATTACGAGAGCTTGCAAATTATTTGCATTTTTAGCTATCATATTAATGTCATCAGCATAGCAAAGATTATTGATGTTTCTTTCATCAATTATAAAACCACTCTTTCTTTTCTTCCAATCCATCTTCCCTCAATATATATATGCAGCACAGAGGTTGAATAAATAAAAAGAGATTATATAGCCTTGTCTCACTGCTTTGCTAATCTGGAGCCAGCAGAGTCAAACCAGTGTGAATACTGGATCTTCTGATTTAGAGAAATCTGTTAGAACCAGCTGCTTCTCATCTTTGTGAGCCCAGCTACTTAGCATACCTTTGAACTGTTTTCCAGTGGCTACTTGAGGTGCTGGGACTACAGCTGGTGCCTGCTAAAAGTCTACATTTTCTAAGGTGCAGACAGATCTGGGCTTTCTCATAGCAAGAGAACTCCATATACCAGGGGTAGGCAACCTTGGCTCTTTTATGACTCGTGGACTTCAACTCCCAGAATTCCTGAGCCAGCATGGCTGGCTCAGGAATTCTGGGAGTTGAAGTCCACGAGTCATAAAAGAGCCAAGGTTGCCTACCCCTGCCATATACATTCAAGATCTGCACTTTCCTATTCCGTGTATTCAGAGACTGAATTGCAGTCTTCAGAACAAGCTGAAGTATTGAAGCTTGGAGTTAAAATATGTTTTGGCGCGATCTTTTTTGCCAGAAAGGAAATTTACATAAGATGTTATTCTATCATAAAAATGCATGAAATTATGCAGCCCTGTTTTGATGACATTTTAACATATAATGCTTTTTTTTGCTCATCAAAATAAAGGAGCATATTTGTAGCTCAGGGTTGAAATCAGGGATCCTTGCTATTGTCTGAGCTTAGTTGCTTTCTTACAGATGTTTCATTACTCAACTAGATAACATTATCTGTGCAGAAAAACAAGATCAGAGAGCACCAAGGACTCCTCATCATAATGAATTGATTCATATTCCGTGGAATAGACAATTTTGCAAGAATAATATATTTTTTCCACATTGCTTTGGATCGGTATAAGTAGTCCTTGACTTATGATCAGTCATTTAATGACCATTTGAAGTTACAACAGCCCCAGAAAGGGGGGAGGGTCATGACCCATAAAACTCTTCTGGCCGTCATAAAACATTGCACCACTGCCTGCCCACCCCACAGTTACACAACTGCATTTTGGGTTCTTGGCAACCGGTTTGCATTTACTATCAGTTGCAGTGTTTTGTGGTTATGTGACCACAATTTGTGATGTTTTTTGACAGATTCTGGTAAAAAAAAAACCATGCCCATTGAGGAGAATGCATTTGCTTAATGATCGGGTTATTCGACTTACAACTGTGTGATTTGTTTAACAACTGCTGTAAAAATAGTAAAAAAAACCAGGTTCAGTCACATGAGTGCCTTGACTTACAACTGAAATTCCAGTCCCAATTGTGGTCATAATTTGAGGATTATCTATATGAACATAGTAAGCATAAACAATAAATGGACAGGGATGGGAATCTGTGGTCCCCAGATGTTACTAAATTGCATTTCCCAGCATCCCTTGCTGTTGATCATAGACTCCTCACCTTTGATATGCATTCTCATTCTATGTATGTATGCATGTATAAAATATGGATGTTTGTGAAGGCTTTACAGTTGAGTAGTACAATTGTGTACTTGCATATACAAGACTTCTATGATCAAAATCAGCAGAAGTAAAAGACATAGCATGATTTACAACAGTGCAACTAATTTAAAATCCAACATTTCAATACAACTTCCTTGTATTCTTGCATGGAAAACATTTATTAAACGAAGTTAAAATGAATATTTATGAGTGTTCTCTGTATTTATTCATGATAAATCAGTTACTTTGCAATTCAGATTTTTCAGAATGATTTTTTTAAAATTAATATCTACATTTAATTTTTTAAAATTAATATCTACATTTAATTTTTTAAAATTAATATCTACATTTATCCCATACATTATTTGCTTTTAGGCAAAAGGCCAAGAAGTAATCTACACCACTATCTTTCCCACAATTAAGTGCACATCCAGATATTGGTTAATATAATTATTGCTGAAGTTTTAGAATTGTTACCTTTCTAACAAATGCAAAAGACTTATTATGTCAAATTATGTTTTGGATTTTAAGATGCAATATAATAAAGGGCTGATATTACTATGGGCAATTTAGTTATGGTAACTATTATGGAATAGGCAGGAGGTATAAATTAAATATAGGGCCGACAATAACCTGTAATGTCTAGGAATTCAGTCTGTTGAAATCCCAACCCTTCTGGAGAAGTTGTAGTAAAAGAACTAGGCACAGAGGAATGACAAGTAAACCTCTTCTCCTTGTTCATCTGAGAAATGTGGAAAAGTACAGTTTTAAGGGGTTTACATTTATTAAAGAAAAAGAATAAACAATTTAGAGAACTGTTGAACTTTGGCTTACTTTCACATAGTTTTGAACCAAATGGTAACTGGAGTCCTTATATGCAAATATACTGTATATTTTATATTATAGCTGCAGAGCCCAAGACACTTATTGAAGGATAAATGGGCTTTTAGAGCTCAGTTTTTTTAAAAAAGGAACCAGTAACTATACTTTAAAAATAAAAGAGGAATCAATTAACGTCCTGTATTGTAGAAAAGGGATGTGATTATATTAAACTCATTTAACAAAACTATATTTCAGAAATACTGAATAACTTCTTTCATGCTTGGTCCATATTTATTCTAGATATAGTGGTAAGAGAAAGACATTAAGATATCTTAATGAGAATTGATGCTTCCACTCTGGTTTCATCTGATTCAAGCTTTGAATTACATATTTTCATCATAAATCTATCATAATAAATGGCAGTCTTTTCCCCCCTCCCCCCTTCATTTTCTGATCTGGGTTCTCTTGAAATGCAAGCATTTTAAATAGACAGCATTTGCAAGAACAACATAATATAAGAGACAAACCTATTTTGATGAATTGTCACAACTTAGGTGACAAACCCTATGCAACATACTCTTGTGATTCTTGTGACTATGAGGAGTTCTCTGCTTATCTGATTAAAATGATGTGTGCCCAGTTAGAATTTCAACAAACCACCTTAAATCTATGAACTGCGTATGAAAGCCCATACTAGTTAGTTTCTTAATAATATGCCATACACTAAATATATAAATACATCTTAATAATAGTTTTAGAGCCTTCTTAAGGTAATATCAAGGCCGTGTATGCTTTATTGAGCTGTCTTGGAAAAGGTAAATTCAGGCTGTACACCCAGATTCCAAAAGCTTAAGCAATCCAGACAAATCCATCAAGGTTGGTAGCTTCCCGTTATCTGACTTTGAAGAAATTTCAAATTCTTAACAAAGTTTGGGGGGGTGGCCTGATGATAAAAGGTGGCCTGATGATATATTTTAGCTCTTCCCAGCCTAGATGCCATGCAGCATGGCATTGCTGTGACCCTTGGGAAGCTGAAATTCACATACCTCCTAGAGGCCCAGGTTAAGGAAGACTGATGGAATACAGGTAGTCCTTGATGTTTAGTGTCCGTTCGAAGTTAGAAAGGCACTGCAAAAAGGGGCGTACGTTTTTCACACTTACAACCGTTGCAGCATCCCCTGGTCACATGATCAAAATTCAGATGCTTGGCAACTGGCATGTATTTATGACGGTTGTGCTGGCCTGGGGTCACTTGATTATCTTTTATCAACTTCCGACAAGCAAAGTCAATGGGGAAGCCAGATTCACTTAACAACTGTGTTACTAACTTAACGTCTGCAGTGAGTCACTTAACAACTGTGGCAAGAAAGGTCGTAAAATGCAGCAAAACTCACTTAACAACTCTCTTGCCATTTTGATTTCTTGCTGCGATCAAATAGTGATAATGGCTAATATTCTGCAAAATAAAATAGTATTAATAGTTTTAATATAGTTAATTTGATCAATGTTATAATTATTATAAATGGTTATAGTCTTACTATGAATGAAAATAATCAAACAGATGCTAGAGCAACTTTTTAATGAGATATTTTGAGAATTTGAGTTAAAATAAATACGGGTATAATGTTTTAATTGTATACTTTTTACTATCTAGGTGTGACATATGCTGCAAAAGGATACTTTGATGCCCTGGTTAAAATGGGAGAATTGGCCAGTGAAAGTCAAGGATCTAAAGAATTAGGTAAGTCAAGTATATAAATGATGTTAGTGTAAATTGCAGGTATGAAATGTATTTATTTATTATTTTTATAAACAACTGAAGGTGGCGAGCATATCTAATATTCCCTCCTCCTATTTTTTCCACAACAACCATCCTGTGAGGTGGGATGGGCTGAGAGACTGACTGACCTCAAATCACCCAGCTGACTTTCAAGCCTAAGGTGGGACTAGAACTCACTGTCTCCTGCTTTCTAGCCTAGTGCCTTAAATACTAGACCAGGGGTAGGCAACCTTGGCTCTTTTATGACTCGTGGACGTCAACTCCCAGAATTCCTGAGCTGGCTCAGGAATTCTGGAATTTGAAGTCCACGAGTCATAAAAGAGCCAAGGTTGTCTACCCCTGTATTAGACCAAACTGGCTCTTGAAATTTAAATTTCAATTAAATTACAATGCATGCCTTATTCAGAAAGTAATCTGCAGTCACTAGAAGTGAAAAATAACCCAAATGATTTTGATTATTTTGTGTTTATTTCCTAGATTAGCTTTGGGAAGTCCTGGGGGGGGGGGGGGGGGGAAAAGGGTAGGTTTGTATTATAGATTTATATGTAGGATTTTTTTAAGGAGGTGTCCGGTGATACCCCAACTGCATAGGGCGGGATGGTTGAGTGTGGAAGGGAAGTAGGAAGAGGGAGGAAGGAGGAGTGGTGGTAGAATGAGAGGAGGAAGGAGTGGTAAGTGGAAGAGGGTGGTGCGGGAGGGGTACACCGGACACGTCTGTGAATGTTTTGTTTAGCTTTATTCTCTTTGGTTGATATTGTGATAAAAGATTTATGTTTGTGTTTTTTAAATGAAAAATAATAAAAAAAATTTTTTAAAAAAATAACCCAAATGTACAAAAGGTACACTTTATTGTTGTTGTGCTATACCATTGCAGGTGCCAAAATCTGATTGGTGCATGGTGTAGTGGAATGTAGTCTGGTTCCCAGGAGGGAGGAAATGCATTTCAGAGGAATAAGAGACAGCAGAGTTTTAGATAGTTTGATTGGAAGGAAGAGGGTCAACTCAGTTCCAAACTATATTTTTAATGATGTAAGGAGCTTGCTTTAGTTTGGCAGTGTACAAATATATATCAATACAATGATAAAAATGTATCAAGATATTCAATAAATTATAGAAAACAAATGTAAAACCCTAGTGTCAAATATCACCGAACTACAAAATATTCATTACATACAATTACTTCCACCTACTACTGTTTCAGTAAGTATTAGTAAAGCATACAACTGCTTCAAATTGCATATTTAAAAAGCCATGGTTTTTAGAACTTCCTGAATATTAAAATTGGGAGTGGGAGGACAGATTTTACTTTATCTAATAGTGTCATAAGTAGCCAGACTTTAACCTGTATAGAACTTTCAAGGTGATTACCAGCATTGTGAACTGCACCTGGAAACAAATTAGGCAATCAATGCAGATCCTTCGGTATTGGTGTTTCGTGACATTATCAGGTGTTCCAATCAATATAGTTACTGCTCCATTTTGCATTACAGTAGTTGCAGTTTCTGGGTCATCTAAATGAAGAGAACACGGTGTCTGTAGCCAGTGGTAGCTTCTCCCGAGCTTCATGTGTTATTGTAGGTTCTTATGTTGTGCTAAGTGCAAGGCAAGCCATTTTTGCCTTAACGCAGTTTATAAGAGCCGTGGTGGCACAGTGGTTAGAATGCAGTATTGCAGGTTAATTCTGCTGACTGCCAGGAGTTTGACCCTCACCAGCTCAAGGTTGATTCAGCCTTCCATCCTTCCGAGGTCGATAAAATGAGGACCCAGATTGTTGGGGGGCCATAGGCTGACTCTGTAAACCGCTTAGAGTGGGCTATAAAGCCCTGTGGAGCGGTATATAAGTCTAAGTGCTATTGCGATAAATAAATAATACAGTTTATAAAGAGGGTGCAATGGCTCAGCATTTAAAGACACTGAACTTGACAGTTGGAAAGCTGACAGCCCAGGTTCAAGACCCGAGTGCTGTGCAACAGGGTGAGCTCCCATTCCTGCCCCAGCTCCTGCCCACCTAGCAGTTTGAAAACATGCAAATGCGAGTAGATTAATAGGTACCACTTTGGCGGGAAGGTAAAAGTGTTCCATGCACCTTTGGTGTATACCCATGCAGGCCACATGATCATGGAAGCATCCTCGGACAATGATGGTTCCTCCGCCAAGAAACGGAGATGAGCACCTCACCCTAGAGTCAGACAAGAGTGGACAGGGAAACCTTTACTTTTACTTTAATACAACCATATAGCTATTATCAGGAGAAGAAAAGATTGCAAATGACTTGTACATGGCAAGAGATTAACAATATCATCGTTGGATACAAGATGAGTGGCAAATTAATTTACAGACAAACAAACATCTTTTCTAGTTATTGTTGTGTAAGTAGGTACCAGAAATTATGTGTGCCAACAGATGTGACTAAATATCATCAGTATACCAAAGATACCATATTCTGTGCTGATAGATATCCTCCATCAACTGTTTCAGGTAGATGTTAAAGAGGAATGGAGAGAATAGACTGCCTTAAGACAATCTGTGAGGTAGAGACCTTTGAGCAGATCTCTCATTTCCCCTCCCCCCCCACAACTACAAAACAGAACTAACTCCTTGGGAAGAAGGAAAATCACTGAAGAATAGGAACCCCCCCCCATTCCAATCCCATAAAGTTAGTTCAGCAAGATACCATGGACCCATTGAGAGATCAAGGAGGACCAAAAGGGTTGCACCCTCCTAATCCCAGTCTCTCTAAAGGTCATCCACAAACCTCTTTACCAAGATCCAGTTAATCCCATTCCTCTGGAGCCTTAAGTTGCAGCACCATCACTTCTTCTACAACCTTTTCTAGAAAGGGAAATTAGAGAGCCATCCAAAATTATCAAGAATAGCCAGGTTGAGAGAAGACTTTTTGAACAATGGGCACAACACAGCTTCTTTCAGAAGTGATGGGCCCCCAACTAGTTATTTAGAGAGATGTAAATTGCCGCTCAATCCTAACTGCTCACCACCTGTGAACGGTCTTGACTAAACACCAGAAATATGAATCTGACTGAGAAGTGGCAGAGCTGACACTATAGAGAACTTTATCCACTTCCATGGTACTCACAATTTCAGATTGATCCCAGATTACTTCACAAAACAAAAAAACCCCAGTCATTTCCATTGGAACTGCCCAGCTAGAGTCCAGCTCTGCTTGGATCTGAGTGTTTTTCAATCTGCTAAAACCAGTACCGGGCCACAGCATGCCAGCAACCAGTCCACACAAAAAAGCAAAGCCCCATCTGTGAGATACAGGCAGCACACAAAACCACGCACCCTCTGGTCCGCGGAAAAACCTCTCTCCACGGAACCAGTCCCTGGTGCCCAAAAGGTTGGGGACCTCTGTGCTAAATCATAACATAACCTTGAATTACACTTTGGGAAGTAAAGAGCAGGTCTAAGGCAGCGTAACTCTATTGAACTCAGCAGTGTAAGTGATCTTAATAGCAGCTGCATATAATGTGGGTGTATTTCAAATTGGGGCAAGTCATTCTGCTGCCTGTGTCCCAGCCTTTTAGTGCATCTATTTGCTGTTTTCACTAGCCCAGCGTGATGTTAGTAATTGTTCCAGTAGATGGTAAACAAAGCACTAAAGAGCAGTTGATACAAGAGTGCTGCTTTAATTTGTGAACTGCCGAAAACAATATTGGTTTAAGAGCCAAAGAAGGCAGTATTTTTTAAGGGAGTAGCTTGTTTTAGAAGAATTTGGCTGAACTTAAAAATTTAAAAATATTACCTTGGGCAAAGAGTTAAGAGAAAAACTGATTAGTCCCCCATTTTGAATGAGTGAGTTATATTTTCTGATTTTTATATATCCATAGAACATTTGAAAAAGGCTAGGGAAGAGATTTTGAGGAATTTAAAACTTTAACCAGCTATGTAATTAGCCATATATGTATTACCTTAGGCAAAGGGTTGAAAGACAAACTGAATTATTTTCCATTTTTCATGAGTGAATGATGCTTCTTTTTCATCTTTATATAGCTGTAGAACATTTGACAAAGGCTAGAGAAGAGATTAATAAGCTGCTTCCACGTGTTCTAGATGTGAGTCATCTCTGTGCAGGCCCTTGTCTCCATGAAGTTGACAAGACAAGTTGACATTCTCGTGTGAATGATTGTAAAGTCAGCGTAGATCTTTGATAGCTTTAATATATTTCAGATAAGCTATCCTATGCCAAGTCACATACAGCATTAACTATATTTTGAGATAGTTATCAAAAAGATGTTGATTCTGATTTGCTAGCTGATCATAAACTATGATTTGCCAGTTGGAACATCTTGCTGGATTGATATGGTGTCTGTATTCAGTCCCAATTATTTCATAAATATCCTTATTTGCTTGAAATTTCACAGTAGCAGATGGTACTTCTTCAATTAAGCCTTGGTTCAATAGTTCCACATCAGTGAATAGTTAACAAAAGAAATGCCAACTCTATTCAAAACAACAACAATGCACTAATACACTCTAATCAGAATTTTAATGTAATTTAATGCAAAATCTCTGGCAAACTATAAAGCAGATGTAAGATGAATGCTCTGCCCTAGCAGTGCCAATATAAATATATAATCTAATCATTCTTTGCAAATACTCCATTTTCTGCATGTTTAGAAGAAAAAAGTCTGAGTTCTTCATTAACTTCCTAAACAACTTATTTAATTTTCTTAGAATGTAAATTAAGTTAATCAGGATTTTTTTGTGAATCTTGAGTGGATTGTTCTGTCAAAGAAAGTACATTTTATGTCTGAGTGCCATGGAGGATATTTTAGATATACTTTCTATTCTTCATTCAAATTGGGAATACTTGGAATTAATGTTCTCGCCTTCAGTGTTGCAAACTCAACTTAACCTAATTGTTTGTACCTCTTGGCCTCATTCAAGCAACCCTTGCTTAGGAAATTGTTTCAGATAAGAGATACTTTATATTGCCTTTC